TTTGAATATTAATTAACAAATTTATATTTAAATTATTTTCATAATTATTAATACATAATACATAATTCCTTACTATTCCCAGATTAAAATCTTTAATACAAAAACATATGAATGGTCACAGATGGTATATATTTGATGTTAATTTATAAAATAAATGTAATATGTAATAATTAACCCATTGTCACATTTAATTCTAAGAATGCCACTGGTGATGAAATTGACCCAAGATGGCATTTTTCTTCTGTGTTAAGTAAGTATCCAAATTATTTATTATTACCGAAAAATAAAAAATCTATATTAAAATAAATATTTTTCTATAGCACCAGATGGACGTATTATTATATTTGGGGGTATTACACAAAGCTATTCTAGTGTCAGTCCAAACCTTGCTGTGTTAGACACAAACAAAAATCCTTTCGAATGGTCCATTCCATCCAATTCCTCAATAAATTCTCCACCATCTATTTATGGACATACTGCAAATTTATATAATGATTATATGATAATTACATTTGGTTTGTAGATTTTAATATTTTTAATATTTTTAATAAATATTCTATATTATATTAATAACGTTTCATATCTTTTTTAGGGAAAGAACTTGGATCATATTCTTCTCAATTGCATTTTTATAATATAAAAAGTAATAAGTGGGTGACTTCTTTTAGCCATCCTACAAATGCTCCTCCGCCTCCAAAAAAGGCATTAAAAGCTTTGGCAATTGGATTAAGTGTAGCGTTTTTGATTTCTTGTATTTTTGTTACAATATTTATTATTCGTAGAATTAGACAAAAAGCTCAAAACAGAAAACCTTCATTTATTCTTGAAATATCTGGGAACGATCGTCAGCATCTTAAAATACCTGGAAGTAAACGTCAAGGATGATTTAAAAAAAAAAAAAATCGAATTTTAGTTTTTATGAATTAATTAGGTGTATACTATTAAAAAAAAAAAAAAAAAAAAAAAAAAAATTCGAATACGTCATCTTTTTTACAAGTACGTAATTCGGTTAATTTTAATTACCATTTGAGGAATACAATTAAGCGAACAAAAAATTTATTATTATTTAATTTTGTAAAAAATGGGTAGTAAGCTTAAAATGGGAAAGTACTCTATGCCATATTACTATCAAGTATTCTTATTATCCTTCCTAAGTTATTTATTGGTTTGTGTATTCATTATTTTAAAATAAAAAAGTTAGAGAATTTGTTTTAATATTTTGAACATTTACAGTCTGGTGCAAAAGTCTTTGGACGAAAATCATTAAAATTAAAAGTTACACAAGTCTCTAATTTTAACTATTACAGGTCATGCTTTTGCATTGCATTAAAAGTATGTCGTCTGACCTGTCAACTGTCCCTTTAACGGTTTCGTTCAAATAAAAAAATTTTTTTTAATCCAAGAAAGAAATGAGGTCAAACGTCAAAGACACACAAGCACAAACCATACAACATTTGTGGCATAACGGAATTAAAAATGCTGCTGAAATTCAACGCAGAACAAATATTCCGAGATCAACAGTATATTATAATATAAAAAAATTAAAAAAAACTGGGAGCACGGCTCATAAAAAACGTTCCGGCCGACCTAAAAAAATTGATTCCAATGACGCAAAAGCAATTGTGCAGTACATTAGAAGAAATAAGGCTATTTCTTCCCGAAAGATGTCATCCATATTATTAAAAAAGGGTACCGATGTATCCTACAGTACAATATTGCGGCATTTGAAAGATCACGGCTATGATAAAAAACGTCCTATTGCCACACCGATGCTAACGAGGCAACACAAAGAAAAACGAATAGAATGGGCACAGAAGCATATGAATGATGATTGGAATCGTACGGTTTTTTCAGACGAAACATCTTTTTGGTTGTTTAGCAACACAGTTCAGTATTGGTAGTATTAGTATAGAGGTCAGCGGCCAGTTCGTCGTATTCCAAAAGACCGGACAAGAATTAATGCGTGGGGTGGATTTTGTAGTCGAGGTAAAACTAGTCTTTTTTGTTTTCGTGATATTATGAATGGTCAATTTTATGTTGAAATAATAAGAACACATCTTCCTGAGATCAAAAAAATGTTGCGCAACAATTGGCGCCTCCAGCAAGACAACGACCCGAAGCATACAAGTCGTGTAGCTAAGGAATTTCTGCAAAAAAATGTTCCGGCCGTTATGGACTGGCCTTCCAATAGTCCAGACTTAAACCCCATTGAAAATCTATGGGCCATCCTTAAAAGAAACGTAGAAATGCGACAACCACAAAATATTGCAGATTTGGAAAATTTTATGAAGGAGGAATGGGCAAAAATTCCTCAGGACATTATAAAAAATTTAATTAATTCAATGAATGAACGTTGTAAACTTATTATTGAAAAAAGTGGGGAACGTATCCCTTATTAAATTTTTTTAAAATAAAATATAACTCTGTCTATCAAATGAATGTTTTTTCATGTGATTTGGCGCAGCAACTGCGGCGCTGCGGCATAAAATATTCGTCCAAAGACTTTTGCACCAGACTGTATGTTTAAAGTATAACGGCTTTAGTTAACGTAGGCAGGGTTGGTTGATTTGAGAATTACCTACCGCTGGAATTCTTAAAATTAAATATACATTCACATTTTTTTATAAAGAGTTTAATCTATTTGCGAATAATAAAGAATTATATACTTGTGAAAATAATTTATTAATTAAGATTTGTATTCCGTCAATTTTAATTAAATAATTTCATTTAGAAAAATATTAGCAGCAAGCACTTAGCTAAAAAATTTATTTGATATGCAAATCGATCATCCGCCTTTCACTTCACTAATAAAATTACAATCTCAAATAAAAAAAATAATTAATTTAATCTAAAATCACATCAAAGATTGTGAACCCAAAATGCAAAAGGGAAAGGTATAAAATAATAAATGTCTGCCTTAAAACATTCGCGAACCCAAAATCAATCCCATTGAATGAAAGCAGGTATGTAATATGTCTGCAAGCTTTTCTTCAATCTACGCTAAATGCTGATTTTCATCTCAAAGAAAAATAACTAACTAAATTGGATATTTTATAATAGTTGGAAAATATTAGTTAACATGTGACAATAGCCGCCTAACCTAGTTATCATTTATTATTTAAAATATCAATGTTAATAATTTTCAATAAATTAAAGCCAAAAATCTTGTTCGTTCTTTCTCATCAATAATTCGTAAATCTTATTATTTTATATATTAAAGCATGTATTTCTCATTTAAACTTATTTTTTGCATTTTATTATTAATTAATTCAATTTTATGCTATGTACCACACAAAAGAGCATATCATAATAGTTTAATAATCGAAGATAAACTCTTAATAATTGGCGGAAATACAACCGAACATACACTTGAATTATTCTATTTGGATTTGTCAAAACCAATTGATAATAACAACTTAGCATGGAATTTAATTCCTGAAGGAAATATTCCTGTATATACATATCGGTCAACTGCTGTTTTAAGTTTGGATAATTCTACAATTTATTTAATTGGAGGATTCATGCAAAATACACATAATTATAATTTCTCAAATCTCGTCTACACATATGATTATCTCACTTCTAAGTGGTCTACACCACAACTTGTGATTCCTCATCCTAGACAGGATATGAAAGGAATAATTGATAATTCGGGAAAAATATATCTATTTGGCGGATTTAATGCCACTAATTTAGCAAGCCATACAGGAGTTCTTTACAATGATATGAATATATTAAATACTGTTTCAAATACTTGGATAACTTTAAACATATCTGAAAATATTCCTACTACATGTGATGAATATTCTGCTAATATTTTGCCAAATGGAATTATTGTTTATATTGGCGGAGTCGAACGAGTTAGTATTGATGCGAGTTTGACTCTTGTAAATATGAAAAAAGTAAGCGATTTGAATATTAATTAACAAATTTATTTTTAAATTATTTTCATAAATATATAATACATACATAATTCCTTACTATTCTCAATAGATTAAACTCTTTAATACAAATACATATGAATGGTCACAGATGGTATATATTTAATGTTAATTCATAAAATAAATGTAATATGTATTAATCAACCTATTGTCAAATTTAATTTTAAGAATGCCACTGGTGATGAAATTGACCCAAGATGGTATTTTTCTTCTGTGTTAAGTAAGTATCCGAATTATTTACTATTCCGAAACATAAAAAACATATATTAAAATTAATATTTTTCTATAGCACCAGATGGACGTATTATTATATTTGGGGGTAGTTCAAGATATTATACTAGTGTTAGTCCAAACCTTGCTGTGTTAGACACAAACAAAAATCCTTTCGAATGGTCCATTCCATTCAATTCTTCAGTAAATTCTCCACCACCTATCGATGGACATACTGCAAATTTATATAATAATTATATGATAATTACATTTGGTTTGTAGATTTAATATTTTTAGAAAATTTTATATTACATTAATAACGTTTCATATTTTTTTAGGAAATGAACTTGACACTCGATCGTATTCTTCTCAAGTGTACGTTTATAATATAAAGAGTAATCAATGGGTTACAACTGGCAGCCCTCGTCTAGTAGCTCCTTCGCCTCCAAAAAAGTCATTAAAAGCTTTGGTAATTGGGCTAAGTGTAGCATTTTTGATTTCTTGTATTTTTATTATAATATTTATTATTCTTAGAAATAGACAAAAATCTCAAAACAGACAACCTTCATTTATTCTTGAAATATCTGGGAACAATTATCAGCATCTTGAAATACCTGGGAGCAATCGTTAAGGATGATTAAAAAAAAAAAATTGAATTTTAGTTTTAAATTTTTTTTATAAAAAAAAAAAAATCCGAAACGTCATCTTTTTTTACAAGTGTGTTATTCGGTTAAATTGTATTTATCATTCTTTCCATACATCAATAACTCTTTGTATTATTAATTATTCCTATTTTATTAAAGGACATGATAATATTAATAATACTGATAAAATTTCGTCTAAAAAGAGATGTCAACCAAAGAGTCAACTGCAAGATTATTCAAAATAAATCAATATGCAAAAAGACAGAGACTCGGAACGAAACGAAAATATACTGTTGTTTATTTTCTTTTAGTTTATTACTATCATTATTATCGCAATAGTTTTTATCATTAGAAAAATCTTAATCCAGAAACCATTAATAATTTTTCGTACCAAGAAAAAAGATAAATAGGTTTGAATTAAACTTTAATTTTAAATATCTTTGTCCCATGACATTGAATATTTTACAATTTAAAAAATACTTAATATTTATATAAATTTAAATCTTACATGATTTTATTTTATTTTAAATATTTAAAATCATCATCATTTCTCTTTTTCTTGTATGAAAATATATGTATAATTAATTATTATAGAATAATTCCTTACATTTTCTTAAAAAGGTATTTATATTTTTATTATTCTTCGTCGAAATATAAAAAATAGTATATTGACAAAAATAGTAAAAAGTTACATTGTTACATTGTGTTCTCAATTTGGAAACTGAAATTTTTTAAGTTGTAGTATTTTACATTTGAAATTTCAAATTTTGTTCAGTTTTGTTTAATATTTGTAAGTTATACGAGTTTTGTTTAATATTGTAAGTTATACTTTGTAAAAATTATTTTACAAGTGTTAAGCAAACTGTAATACCACAGATTACTTGAATAATTAATTTTTTATGTGCTGTGCAAAAGGCTTGATTTATCTCTTTTTTTTAACTGCAATGAAAAATGTAATATTTATAATATTTAAGCAGTTCTTTCATTTTTCTTCCTTGAAATTAAAATAAAATTTAAAATTTTTATTTTTCGAAAGAATCTTAAATTCGCAATTATTTTTTGGTAATACTTATTTTCTTACATTTTGGTTTTTGAATTTGTGGATTTGCAGAAAAAATAAGTTATTTTCATTTGTAATTTCTTTTTTGGAGTCAATGGAAGGATTTAAAAAAAAAATATTAAAAAAATTACTTAATTTCTTTTTTGATGGATGTCGTGATTTCTTCTTTGGAGTTGATAGATGGATTCGCGAAAATAGAGGTAAAATCTTGAAATTATTTTGTTTATGAGATCTCTATTTTAGATATTGCCCTGATTTCTTTCTTGGATCAAATCAGTCACAAAAAATAATTAGGTAAGATCTTTATTTTTTTTTTGTTTGAAGATCGTTATTACTTTATTTTATTTTTTTTTGATTATGGTAAATACTCGTTTTGCAATATACTTCACAATTAATTTTACATTATACTTCCTTATAATTTGAATACACCATCGGGATCATAGTGCCTTTTTTAAAAAATGTGCTTATATAGAGGCTGTGCTTATATAGTGGAGTTTTTTCTATATGTTCATAATAGCTGGTTTTAAAATTGACGTGATTATAAAGAGAATTTTATGTATATATTTTACTAATTTCCCTAGCACTAACTTCTAATTTATTTTTGACAAGAATTTTTAAATTTCTTTTTTTAATAGAAAAATTTCTATTACTATTTTCATCAAGTTCTCAATTTTGTCTTAGTAATTATACTTAATTTTTTCTATAAATTTTTTATTTATCACTACATTACTCAAAATTAATGATAATTAAATAATGAAATTAAATTAAAATTTTTAATAATTTTTATATTTTTATATTTTTATCATTAAGAATGATTCAAGTTAGGAATTATTTTGGTTACTGATTCTCAAATTAAAAAAAAAAAAAAATACATAAAAATAATAAAAAAAATAATTAAAAAAAAAAATAATTAAAAAATATAATTAAAAAATAATAATTAAAAAATAATAATTAAAAAATAATAATTAAAAAAAATATTTGATAAATTACACGAAATAAGAATACAGCCGAAAGTAGCGATTTTCCCAAACTATTTCACATTTATTATAAATAATTCCTATGAATGTGAGAGAAAATAAATTGTTATAATATCATATTTATAACGGATAAAAGCAACTATTTCTTATTTATGTATTGTTCTTTATGGCAAATATATAATTAAAATTTTTTTCATTGATAATAAATTAATTTAATATCCAACTACCTTGAATTTGACGAGCAACTCTTACAACGTGTTTCGCTCACATTTTCTCTGATATTCTTAACACAGGAATTGAATAAAATATGTTTTTGTATCTATAAATTTTGTGGCAAGAAAAAAATTGCAAAATTTTTTTGACCAAATTTTTTTTTTTTTTTAAAAAAAAGTGATTATAGTGGTTTTCATTATAATGGTCAATTATCTAGAGGTGCAGATGGTGGACATTAGAATGTAAACGAACTTTCGTCATAGATGTTGATAATATCAACAAAATTAACATTAACATAGCGACACGTTTTTTGTTCATAATTAAATTTGTAATAAGATTAAGTTTTGCACCTATTTGGATAAGTAATATGTCATTTTTTAGAGAAGCCTTGGATTAGAAACAAGCAAATAGATAAATGAACGAGCATCACCTTATTGTCAGTAAGAACAATATCTAACGTATTGTACATCAACACAAGTCCTTCCTAGTGCAAAAAAATTCAGCAGGTCTTGGAGAAAAGGTGAGTAGAAAAAAAAACGCAATTTATTTACTGCAGTCATGGATTTTATTCAATAATAAAGTATTTAAAATAATTTATCAATTTAGAAAATTACAATTGCAGTTTGCTTAAAATAAATAATATTTTATAAGATTGTATTCTTAAAAATTAATAAATACCCAATATATTTTTTTTTTTGATATCTAAGATCTCTTTTACCTTTTCCAATTGGTTTAGTATATTTATATTATTTTAGCTTAAAAAGGAGATTTGATAATCTGTAGTTCGGAGTTTACTTAAAATAAATATAAGACTGTCATGTGCTGTAAAACAAATAAAGGTTCAATTTAGGTTGTTGGGCTGAGTATCATTTTGACAATAAAAATTTTGGGTTTGGGGTTGAATTTTCTTGTCAAAGTGTCAAAGTTAAACCGCTTTTTGTGTCACTTAATGTTGTTTTATATAAATAAGTAGAAATGGCTACAAATAACACAATGAATATTTTAATCTTAAAATATGTATATCTCATTTTTCTTTGTTCTTTGCATTTCCTTATTAATAAATCCTATTTCATGTTACGTTCCGCTCAAAAGAGTTAATCACAACAGTGTAATAATCGATGATAAACTCTTGATATTTGGTGGAATGAAAAACATAACTTTAGATTTAATTCCATATGCATTTGAATTATTTTATTTGGATTTAACAAAGTCATTTGATGTTAAGGACGTATCATGGACTTTAATTCCTGAAGGAAATCCTCCTCCATATTCATCACATTCAACTGCTGTCGTTGGTTTAGATAATTCTACAATATATGAAATTGGAGGATTCATATATAATAAAGATACATCAAGTATTGATTTTTCAACCCTAGTCCATACATATAATTATCCTACTAAAAAATGGGATACACCACCAATTACTGGTGATATTTCTCCTAGACAACTTGTAAAAGGAGTTATTAATAGTAAAGGATATATATATATATTTGGTGGATATAATGCCACTAATGTAACAGAATCAGAATATATAGGAACATTTTATAATGATATGAATATGTTAAATACCCAAACAATGACTTGGTCACTTTTAAGCATACTTGGAAATCTTCCTTCACGATGTGGTGCATATTCGGCTAACATTTTACCAAGTGGAACTATTGTTTATATTGGAGGAACCGCTAATACTTCTAATGCTACTACAACTCCTATAAATATAAATAATGTAAGCAAATTTAAGTACAAATTAACAAATTAATAAATTATATATATATATATATATTAATATATAATTCTTTATTATTCTCAAATAGATCAGACTCTTTGATACTAATGAACACGAATGGTCACAAGTGGTATGTATTTAAAATCAATTATAAATATATATGAATATTGTAAAAATATTTAACTAACCAAATAATATAACATTTAATTTTTAAGAATGCCACTGGTGAAACTATTGATTCAAGATGGTTTCATAGTTCTGTGTTAAGTAAGCATTCGAATTATTTAATTATTTATTATCTTTGAAATATAAAATATAAATAAAATACATTAAATATTTTATATAGCAACAGATGGGTATATTATTGTATTTGGGGGTTGTACATTTGAAGGGGAAAATAGTAATGCCAAATCTGTTAGTCCAAACCTTGCTGTGTTAGATACAAATAAATCCCCTTTTGAATGGTCCATTCCAGAAAGTTCCAAAATCAATTCTCCCCCATCCATATGTTCACATGCAGCAAATTTATATTATAATTATATGATAATTACATTTGGTTTTTTAATTGGTAAGTAGATTGAATAATCTATCATTTTAATCATTTTAATCATTTTAATCATTTTAATCATTTAATTAATGACATTTTATTCACACATATATATATATATTTTTTTTTAGAAAATAATAGTCCATGGGTAAATTCCACATATAATTCGGATGTATATCTTTATAATGTGACTAGTAATTCATGGGTTACAAGGTATAATGCTCCAAATATTAATAAAAGTATAAAAAAGTCATCAAAGAAAGCTTTGGCAATCGGGCTTGGAATCGGTGGCGCAGCTATTTTTATTTTAATTTTTGTTGGAGCTTATTTTATTTACAGAAAAAGAGAAAGAATTCTTCGAGTATCAGGTAGTGCACAATAATAACAACAATAAATAAAAAATTTTCAATAAATAAAAAATAATATTAAAAATAAAAATTTCTTGTGTACTATATCCACAAAAATATATTTAAAAAAATATCAAAATATTGCAAACCTGAAGATCACAGATTGAATCGGAAGGAAGGCAACAAATTTAAATAAATAATTAAATAAATAATAATTATAGAAAGTTAAGAAAAATCAAAGTTTATATTTTATAGTAGTAATCATCATCAGCGTCTATAATTTATTTAAATTTATTGAATGATGCCGAAAAAAAATTTTTTCTCACTTAATATATACTATATATCTTGGAAGTTGAATATGTAAAGAATAAATTAGACATCGATATTTAATAGCTTGTATAAAAAATTTCATATATGAAGAATTTTATTTAATAAGAAAAAATTTGTATTTATTATATATAAATAAACTGTTTTTAATTAGGAAAACAAATCTTATGGATAGAGTTCCTAAAATTAAATTGAAATTTAATACTAAACATCAGGCAAGCATTTTTTTTTATTAAAAAGAAAAGCACGGTTCCCTCTTTTATCTGTAATAGGATCTTTATCTTTTCTTGATGAATGAATCATAACATTCTTAAATAATTAATTGCTTCATGGTAAATGAGAATATGCTGTCAAAAAAAATATATTTAATAATTATAATTATCATAGTATAAGAAACGAACTTAATATTTTTTTTCTACTAGAGTATCGATACCCCTTTTTATTGGAATAAGAATCTATACAAAATTCCCTGTCGAAGTTTGTCAAAACATTTGAATGCTAGGTGTAAAAATTTATCTTTAAATTTTATAGAAAAATCTTAAATCATAAATTTATTATCGTAATCCACTATATCCCACCTTCTATGGAATTTAAATAATAATCACAAATCTGAATCTTGAAAACTGCATCTAAACGAATAAATCTAATATATAACATACAGAAAGCACAGAAAGCCATAAAATTTTTGTTACAGTCTTTACGGTATTCTAGAAGATATCATTAATAATTAGGGTGAGAATTTAATATTTTTAAAGATAACTGTAAATTCATTGTTTCAGTAACTTAATGATGCATATTAGATACTTAAAAAATAAAAAGAGCTTTGACAAAACTCGCAATTATTGTAAACATCATAATTTAATTTATTTAAAAATATAAAAATAAAAGTTTAAAATTATATAAAATTAAAATTTTATTCTTTCTCCTTTTGCTTCGATGACTTCCTCACATCTCTTTTTCAACGAATTTACTAAATTATTTATAATTTCATCAGGAATCATTTCCCATTCTTCAATAATAAACTCCTCCAAATCCTCCAAATTTCGTGGTTTTCTTTTTTCTACGTTTCTTTTAACTAACCCCATTAATTTTCGATTGGATTTAGGTCCGGACTGTTCGATGGCCAATCCATTACTTCGGGAACATTTTTTTGAAGAAAATCTTTGGCTAGACGACCTGTAATGCTTCGGATCATTGTCCTGTTGAAGACGCCAATCATCACCCATTACTTCTTTTATTTCAGGAAGTTGTTCTTGAAGAATATTAACAAAAAATTCGGCATTCGTTATGCCAACAAATCAATAAAGACTAGTTTTGACACAACTCGAAAATCCACCCCAGGCATGAATTTTTTGTCGATTTTTTGGAAAAGGACGAATTGGCCTACTATGCTTGTACCATTGTGTAATTGTGTTTCTGAATAATTGAAATGATGTTATACAGTTCGTGACCAATTATCATTAAGGTGTTCTTTGGTTCATTCAACTCTTTTTCGTTTATGCTCAGCTGTAAGCATTGGCGTCGCAATGGGGAGGGAATTTTTGTATCCTTGTCGATGAAGATGCCTTCCAACTGTATCTTTTGATACTTTTATACATTTTTCTGCTAACTTTTCCAAGACTTTCCTTTTTATTTGAGGATTCCTTCGAATTTATTGCCCAACAACATTTGCTATGGTACCAGTAATTTTTTTGGCTTACCTGAGACTGGTTTTCGAGCGACATCACCCGTTTTTTCCAGTTTTTTGAGATTGTAATATATTGTGGAGAGTCCAATATTGGTGCGACGTTGAATTTCATTCGCACACGTATCCCCTCACTCCAAAAATGTAAAATTACTTCTCGTTGTCGAATTTTTGTCATAAACTTTTTTTTTGTGGCATTATTCTGGAAAGTCAAATAAAATAACGTTCGATAAGAAAGAATTTTTTTTTTCAATAATGCATGTGGCATAATTTGATTTGAAGTTTGTGTTCCGCCACAGTTAATGATTAACATCATGTGATAAATTTCCAAAAACTATATAATAATAAAAAATGAAACCGAAGAAATGGAATGTAAATGCCTTTGTATTCTTTTATAATTTATAGAATTACATAATGATTTAAAATAAATTGTAGATTTTATGATATTAAATTACTTACATCCTTCATGCTTACAGGAGTGAAATTTGAAAAGTTGTAAAAGTCATTAAATGTATTCATGTCATTAAAAAGTTTTCCCAGTACCAGTTTCAAAAGTGATATGGTATTCACCAAATAAATATATAATTCTACTAAATTAAATTTGTATTATAATATCAGATATAAAAAGCTTTATTAAAAGTAAATTTATTAATGTTATGTAATAAATATCAAATTTTGGCCCCTATAGGTTTTATAATAAATTCAATGCCCGTGACATATTACACTATTCACAACAAGTGTCAGTCTAAACAATGATTGTTTGTATGACATGAGTTATGAGTAGCGTAATAATTATTCAATAAAAATTAATTGTATCAATTAAAATTCAAAACAACAAAAACAAATAGGAAATTAACAGAACTAAAATAATAATTAAAGTAACGATGATAATAATGAAGAAATAATATAATTATTAGCTCTTTCATCCAATTAATGATAAAAAATTTAAATTTAAATTCTAATTTTGGTCAAAATTTGTAATGCCGGCCATAAATCACATGATATTTACAATTCAAATTTGGCACCTAATATTAATAGTTGCACAATAAAAAATAATAAGAAATTAAAATGAAATATAGATAATATAAATTGACTTTTTTAATTTCGTCAAACAATGTATTGTTAATCTAATTTTAATGTTAATAATTGTTTCATCGTGAAAGTCCAAAGTTTAAAGTATATATAAATACTAAATGGTGCAGATTAACAAAAGGTTATTTCTTATATTTTGTACAGAATTTATGTCATATTTTAATATTATAATATCGAGCCACCAATGTTCTTGGCTTACAGGAAACAGATCTTGTCACTAAAGATATATTATTATAATTTTATTTTATTATCAAAAAAAATTTTAACATATAATAGTTGCAAAAATAAAATTAAAGACACTTTCATTTCCATTCAAAAGACTATATAAGCATTTAACCAGATCTGTTGTGTTATAACGTGCTTTTTTTGGGCATCCTAACAAGTTTCAAAATGTCATCTACAACAACAAAAAAGCGGAATGACTATGGGGCATATCGAAACCAGCTTGAACTACATCTGAGTTATTATCTTCAAAAGTTTGTTCTGATTGATTTTCTTCAGAAGTTTGTTCGGATTGTGTGAGTGATGGTGATCCATTGAAATCCTGGCGACCACTGGTTTCTTGAAACATGCCGCCACATTATCTGATCACAAGATGAAGTGTGTATTCTTTTTGGATGTTATAATCGGATAAGGTGAGACCATCTTCCAATTCTTTTCCAGCAAAAATAATACGTTGCGTGTCTTCGGGGACACCTTCTTTGTCTTGAATTTTAGTTTTAATTTGATATATGGTATCGCATGACTAAATATTTAATACAAAGGTTTTTCCAGTTAGCGTTTTAACAAAAATTAACATTTTTAAATTTCAAAGATTTTGAAAAAACAAGAGCAAATAAATCAAGTCAGTCAAGTCCGTTCAAATTTAAATAACTCGTTACTGAAAATAGTAAAACGCCGGAGTTATTTTTAAAAAATCCGCCAACTGAAAGTAAATAGATTTATCCGAGAATTTGTCATTGTGAAATATATATACATATATATATATATATTTTTGATAATCTGAGAATCTTTCTCTCGACGATCCGCTCTAATTTTATCGAGGCGATACTATTTTTTATAAAAAGAAAAACCGAAAAAAAGCTAAAGAAAAAAAAGGGTACGTCTATTTTGATGCAAAATACTGATAAATAATGATAAACATCTACTGTAGGTACATGCATTTAATGGCAGGATTTTTAATTGACAATGATGATACTACATTACCAATTTCATTTTCAGATTCAAATATAGAATCTTTATTATTTCCAAATTTGTTTTCTTTAGGACGAGGTCATTATACTGATTTTAAATTATCCTATAATAATCGACCAAATATTGATATTAGGTAGTTATATTCGTTTATATTTAGATCCTCGATTTAGATTACATTGGTACTGGCTTCATTATTCTTACTTAAATTTAGAAAAATATAGAAATCATCAAAACAGAATTAGATTATTGAGACAATCAGCTGCAGATCAAGAATAACTTCCAACAATAGTAGATTTAATAAAGAAAAGTACTTACTCAGGAAAAAATATTATTAATGAATTACAAACCACAACAATTCCTTCATTTATTCGTACTGGACTTATTGGTGTCAAAAAGAATTAAATTTAATTACAATGGTCGAAATTTTTGGTTTGCCTCAAATTTTTTATACTATGACAATGGCTGAAGGAAATTGGATTCATTTATATAAAATTCTAGCTGCAACTAATAAAGATACTCTTTTTACAAATGGGCCATATCATGTTTATCAACATTATCAACATCGATTAAAATCAATACACCATTATCTTTGGAAAAATTCAGATTTGACTAAATGGGGAAAATGGCTACATCACTTTGAATGTGATGAATTTCAAAATCGAGGAGCAATCCATACACATGGATTAGCATGGCTTAATAAGCCAATTATAGAATTAATTACAAATAATATTATTAGAGCTGACCTTCCTGATGAAAATAATAAAAAGAAACTTTATGACTTGATAAAAAAATATCAAATGCATCATTGCAATCCTATTCATTGTAATGGACCTCCTTCTCCAGGTTCCTGATGCAAATATAGATTTTCTCAACCTTTATTAAATTCTATATATCACAATATAAATGAATTAAGATTTACATATAAAAGAACCAAACCAGAGGATCAATGGATAGTTCCATATCATGCACCTACACTTTATCTTTGGCAAGCTCATTGTAATATTCGATTTGTAACTGATAGATTTTTTGCTGAATATATGTGCAAATATGAAACAAAACCAGAACCAACTGGACTGTTTGAATTAAAAGAACAAAATGCATTTAAATGACATATTCATGCTCGCAGAATGGGAACAATATAATTGATGTTATTATCACTTTTGCCGTGTACTATAGCTGTAGATTATTTACCATCATCAGCTCCTGCTTATCGAAATAAAGCAATACGTCCAATTTACAAATTAATTAATGAGCAATATACAGATCCTTATTATCAAGATGCTATTGATAAATACTTTAAAAGACCTACAGAACCAATATTTGATAATTTAACATATCCAATAAATCACAGAAAATTTAAACATAATTCAATATTCCTACTCAAAGAGATTTTTAATATGATATGAGCTATAGAATTATAGTAAAAAGAAAAAAAGAAATTTTGGTTCGATTTAGATATCTGAGAGTTAAAAATGCTGAAGATTTCTTTTATCAGCAATTGTTAATAAACTTCCAGCTCGAAATGAACATGATTTAAACGGTAATTTTGATACTTATCGAGCTCATTTTCAAAGTAAATTTCTAATAGACTATGAAAATGTTTTAAAATGCTATATCTAATAGATCTCAAAGACAAACAAATCAATTTAATAGAAATTATCAAAGTTTAATTGATTCATTGTTAATAACATTGCAACAAGATGTAATGACAATAATTGGAAATCAATTATCAAAACTTATTCCATCAGTATCAT